GGACTGCACTCCCATTCTTTACAATTTGCTACCATGTGGCTCTCATGTGAGCACAAAGCGGAGGTCAGTCTAGCAAACCAGATTGAAAGATTAAAAGGTGCCAGATATCCCAACTGCATCATCATACTTGTTTGCGAAACCCTCCTGCAGAAAGAGAAAGAAAACATCACAGAAAGAAAAACAAGATGGTGAAAGACCCTTCCACGTTAAGCCGCACAAATGTAATGTGTGTCACAATTTAAAGCAACCAGATATGATATAAATTTGTTGTTTTCCACTCCTTGCAACCTTTAAAAAGTGTGTGTCCTTAATAGCAACAAGGCAGTCATGTAACACTCCTCAGGAGCACAGGTTTGCTGAATGCCATTTTTATGTTGTCTATGGAATACCGTTGACCTGATGAAAGATATACATAGGCAAACAGGCCAATATTTAATGACCAAGCAAGATAGCATGCGTAAAATGTTAAGAATGGGTATGGTAGCCATATGGCTCTATACACTGCAAAGAATGCAAGTGCAGCCTCTATTCTGCGAAGCAGGGTTTTCGAAAAATGAGAAAACAAAGAATAAAAAAGAGATTATAAAAGCATTTTTTATCAAGAAGGGCATAGATTGATGCTTCAGTACACCATTCCTTCATCGTTCCGAGAGAGAGAATTCATTTCCAAGTTAACAACGTTATGCATAGCCACACACATGTTGCTTTGCATGCGCACTGATCTTGCACCTTGTAGCAAAGCGGCTAGAGCTCCTTCAATAAATTAATTTGAAAGTCGGCACTCTAATCTGTCTGTATTGTTTCTTCCTACTTTTGTCACGCTGTAACTATGATAAAACTACAGTGGAACTGGAATTATACGTCCTGGATTTAACGATGACCCACATTTTACGACGAATCGGTTTGGTTCCGGCAAAATCACCATAGAAATAATGTATTAGAAACCTTGGTTTATACGACGTAGTTTTGCTCTGACCGCACATCTTGCAACGACTTTCAGATTCTATCCGAAAAAAAACTTTTTTTGAATCAAATGTCAGCCGAATATTCATGACTGCAAAATATGTACTTGCATTCCCCTAGGTTGACGATTAGAGAGTAGACGATGAGACATAATGTCTTCTTAGAATGGAAAGTTTATTCTTCTGGAAGTTTATGTGCTTTTTCATACACCTCAATCGCTCGCGTACGTATTTGGGGTCGTTACCTAGTTGAACTCCATGTACACAGAGTAGCTTCAGGCAGCCATAAAGCTGCTATTTTGACATTTTTAGTCTGTGAAAACTTTTGCTGTTTGACATGCAGCTGATCTCCTGCCTTTGGCACACTCGCAGTCGCAGGCTTGCGCACGCATATGGGCGCAACACAGCTGTTTTCACCATGCAAAATTACTTTCACTTGACATCAATATTGATAATAAGAGTGAGACACCACTAGTTGCACTTAACAAAGCAAGAAATTACAACGTGCAGAGCTCAATCGCGCACGAAGGCATTCTATGCAAACTCATGGTCCATCGCCATTATGTAATAGTGATGAAACTGTGTTTGACTCTTCTTTTGGCAACATGGTTTCAGTTTCGTTTTCACGCGCAGGCAATTTTCGGCCTCTATTTTTATTGGTGGAAAGATGCGTAAAGGATTACAATTTTTGAAGTTTGAAAATAAAGATTCGCTTGCACCTTCTTCAACTAAGTAATGCTGCCTTTAGCTGCCACTGGCAAGAGTAATTTAATCTACCACTTTCCTTGCAAAGGCACAAAGTCGTGCCGTGGGCTTATTTGAATAGTCTGTACCCGTTTTTCGGGCAAGGCTGAGTGTCAGTGTTTATAATATTAGTTTTTCGAATATCTGATGCCAAAGTTGTATGACAGTTTTGTATGGTTCCATGAAAGTCGTATGATCGGGGTTTCACTGTACGATGAAACAACTTACCCAAATCAAGCTCTTCTTGCCATACACATATGCTAGTTCTGGTGTTCACAAGTCCAGATGTGCAGACACTGTTGACAAACGTGTCTATGACAAGCTGCGATGAGGACTTGTACTTCGTTATGGTGTCCGTGCCTGCAACTCTTAGTTTTTCCAAGCGACAAGATAGTGAGCGTTCGGTGGATGGTGGTGGTATGTCGGTGATGTAGCAGGAGGTCGCTAGTAGTATGGATGAGTGAGGCAGCTCATCACAAACGATGAGGGGATAGGAGGCTGCATCAAATTATTTGCATGCGAAGTAACCGGTGCCACCGTTTGTATTAGTGGGCTCTGTTCACACTGTAGGACACTTATAGAGTGGCTGGTGGTAGGCCTGCTTGGTGGCTGGCACGTTGTACCTAGCCAGGACATTGGTGTTACTCGGAAGCACATTAGGCAAGAGTGGACAGGGGCTAGCAATGACTTTGGTGTAGCAGAGCAGTGCTGGCATGGGTACTTGTTAGGGTGGTGCACGGTCTTCAGCGTAGGTGAGTGGTGCTGGTGCAGGAAGGTTTAGGCAAATTATAAATGTAATATAATTAGTTGAAATAAGTATAAAGAGCAATTAATATTAATGGTTTGGCAGATGGTTTTAAAGTTGATGGTAGTGTTTCAAGTGAGCAGTTAAGTTTAGAGGCAGAAACCTTGCATACATCAAGGGAAAGTAAACTGTCAGCGACAGCATAAACATGAATGATACATAAAGTCATGTGATCAGTGATGGCTGCTTGATGACATCCGACATCACCAAAACTTGTGACATCACTATGATGTCACGTGATGATGTCATATGAAACCAACTCGCAGTCGAAGGTGTTTGGATGCCGAAGGCAGTGCAATACCTGGTGATTTGCAGGAAGCTTTCGGCAGTGTAAAGATGAAGTGTCGATACGTCAGCCGAGAGGAAGACAGCTCCTCACAGTTAATCACAAGCATACAAACACAGTCAGCGTAGTGCCACTGTCAGAACCCTAAGTCTTAAGGCAGGGGTCGGCAACCTGCAGCCAATGTGGCTGTGATACGTGGCACAGCCCCTTGCCATTTCCTATCTGAAAGCTGACATCGAACTTCCGACTAGAAATGGCATTTTAGTTTGTAAACTATGTTTTATTGCAACTTTTTAACATGCGTGCCTAAAATAAACTTGATTTCTAATCCAGTTTTACATGAACATATGGCATCTCTCATAATCATATGGTGGTTTTGGGACCTTAAACCCCACATATCATCAATCCAGTTTTACAAGTTAGTTTTCACATTCGGCAAGCACTCTCAAATCATGACTGGTAAATTGCTCTTATCCCTCAAGAGGAAGGTTTATAATAGCTACATTTTGCCGGTACTTATCTATGGAGCAGAAACCCAAAGGATTACAAAGAAGGTACAGCTTAAATAAAGTCTACGGAGCGAGCGATGGAAAGGAAAATGATAGGTGTAACCTTAAGAGGTAAGAAGAGAGCAGAGTGGGTCAGAGAACAAACCAGGGTTGAGGATATCATAGTTGAAATCAAGAAGAAATGGACATGGGCCACGGGCAGGTAGCACGTAGGCAGGATAACTGCGGATCGTTAAGGGTAACTGACTGGATTCCCAGGGAAGGCAAATGCACGAAGGGAAAACAGAAAGTTAGGTGGGCTGATGATATTAGAAGGTTCCCTGGTATAATAAGGCTACGAAAAGGACAAGACTGGGTTGCAGAGTAACAGGAAGGTGGGCTATTTGGTTAGGGTTCATAATGAATTGAATGGGCCAGCGTTAGGACAAATACAGGAATGAGAAAAGACCCGACAAGCACTGCACTCACAACTAAAATTTTTTGGAAAAACGCCACCTGTATACCCAGCGTTGTCAAAGTTATTGTCATAAAAGGTGCCATGTGCACAACGTCAAGGCAATATCAGCACGAAAACAGCCTCGTGGAAAACATGAGCAACATAAAGGTATACAGCAGATTAAAGCACGATGAAGTGGCATTATGCTATGCAAGTTTGCCGGAGATAATCTAATTGTTTAGATGAAAGGTCTTTAGATGCTTGACTTCTCTTTTAATTGGTTAATGTGAAAAGCTTCTATTGTTTCTCTTGTCTTTTTATTATGATGGCGTGACAGAATAACGGTGTCATTAAAATGTGGATTACTTCCACACGAGTGGCTATGGTTGGATAGATGATAACTAGAGGGATCAGCAGAGGAGAGTGAGCGTAGGTGTTCTTGCAATCTTACATTCATGTAGCTCCCACTTTGTCCCATACCGCATAAAGGTATCATATACACAACGCCTATCATGCAAGTTATGAAGTTGTGGACATGGTTAGTTGTGCATCCAACTTTTACAGATGGACCTGCTTACTTTATGATAAGTGGGCAAATCCTTCCAATTTTCTGGGGGGTGGGAAACACCAAATCAACCTTGTGCCGATGGGAAACATTCTTGAGACTATAGAGAAAGCAATGCAGGTATGGTACAACAGTGAAATTGATGGCGCGAGTAATGCTCTCATTACACTGGGTTGATTGGGGGGATAATGAAAAAGGCCTTTTCCCTGCAGTGGGCATAGTCAGGCTGATGATGATGTTCATTCGCTGAATTTTGACAGTTTGCCGGCAAAGCTCTTCTCCTCCACAAATTTTCTGTGCAACTGGGTTGGCTTCATGCAACTTTGCCCTCTGCCTCAAAAGGTTCCTGCCCTCTATCTTGGGGCATTATGGTTGCTTCTGGTGCAGCTATCATGGTGGTCAAAATAGGGGGGTAATATACCAGTAGTGTCAGGACATGCTGAACAGGATAGCTGTGATCGCATCCCCCTTTTCTGGAGGAATGGCCGTGCGCTCAGTGACTGGCAACCAGTGGATTAATGATTGACTTGGGCATGTTGTTTGGCCTAGCGTTGTTTACTGACCAGGAGTGTTTTTTCACCCTGCTTGAAAAGTGCCCGTTCAATAATGTGTTGACGTCTAGTTGGGTTCGCATTTGGCAAATTTTTTTTGCTGAGGAGCAACTTTCCGACCCCGTTTTCTCTATCTATGCAGGGTGGCTGATGTTTGTGCAGAGCATGATGACGTTGGCTCTCATGTTTGCTCTGGGTGCCCTGGTCCTGCTGAGTGTGGTGTTGATGCGTTACATGCTGCGCTTTGAGATCATCTTTCTGCTGGGTGCATTCATCCTCGAGGCTATTACAGGTGCCCACCACCTTTTTTTTTTTTCTATCACTTTACATTATTGCAAAGCATGCCACTGGGTAATATTAATTGTTATACTCAAAACAATTTAGTGTGTCGAGAAAAATGTGCCACAGCTTAATCCCTTTGGATATGCAGAACCCGTCCCAGTGGGATAGGTACTCCCACATAGCATTCAGGCGGAGAGTTGCGCGATTACGGCTTACATTGCGTGTCATCCACTAGATGGCAGCATTAGCTTAGTGGTTCGGTTCGGACTGTCACGGTGGATGGACGTGTTTTCTGAGCGCTCCTGATCGACTGCGCAGATAAGTGTTTTTGCATGTTTTGAGCTTGTCCTTATAATTATAAGGCAGCAGTTGAAATCTTCGTAGCACTTGTTTTATGGTACGGCTTTTTCAGGGGCCAGTCACCAGGTATTTATTAGTTATTGCGGGTGTGTGTGTTTGAATTTTTTGTTGTTTTTTTTCTTTTGCCACCTCGTGGGCGAGGTGCGCGTACATTGAACACGCTAATTTTTGTAGTTAGACTTTCTTTTTTTTCGTAGTGCAGGGCTCGAGTTCAGTAATTATCGAGTATAGACACAATTGGTGTCAGAAAGACATGGTCAAAAAGACTGTAAAGTGTTCAGGATGTGGAGTGGGTTGGAAAGTGGACCCAAGTGTAGAAGAGGATGGAAAAGAGGCTGACGCGAAGTGTAGGCAATGTGAGGTTGAGGAAAAATGGAGAAAATGATGGTTGCCCAGAGTGAACTGCTGATGAGAGTCGCCGAGCTTGATACTGCGTTGGCGACAGAGCAAAAGAAAACGAGGGCAATGGGAGAAAGACTGAAGTCCGCCGAGGAAGCACTAGCGAAACTGAACAAAGGAGCGGCCTACGGAGAGAACAGTAGGGAACCGGCAACCAGAACGGCGGAGAAGGAAGAGCAAGCAAGTTTGGAGAAAAACAGGTTCAGCCAGTTCAATTGTCGCAAGGCCCAGCTTCAGCGAGGTAGTGGTGGGGCTGGGAAGGGACAAAGCAGCCGGCGTCACAGGGGCAAGTAGCCCCCAGGTTCAAGATGCTCCAGCTGAAAAGTCACAGCATGTGATAATCACCGGGGACTCGAATTTAAATCGATGCACAGAAGCCATCAAAGAGAGGGTAATAGGTGACAAGAGGGTTTCAGTAGGAGCGTTCCGAGGATGCAAGCTGGAAGCAGTCATGAGGCAAGCGAGCGCAAAACTCAAAACTACAGCTGATAGACAAAACCTCGTGATAATTTCAGGCGGTTTAAACGATGTCTTAAATGAAGATACAGCAGGACTAGCAACCACACTGGAGAAAGGCGTCGATGACATGCGCACCACTTCTCCTCAGGTACAGGTAGTGATATGCACGATACCGGAGGTACCGGTGTGTGATAGCAACCTGCAAAGAGCGTTTGTCAATGCAAACCAAGAGATATGGCGGATGAGTCGAGAAAAAGGCTTTGAGGTGGTAGAAATAAACAGAGAGGTGCATAGGTGGGGTGGTTTTCAACGAGACAGAATTCACTTCGATGGGTGGCTAGGTCATGAGGTGGGTTGGCGACTTGCAGGACGCGCAGTAGCTTTTTTGGGGGGCAAGCGGGCCCTTCGAAGTGCAGGATAGCTAGTAACGAGGAAAACAACCAGGGAGACTCTTTGACAGGTGGTATAGACAGATACAGTTCCAAAGTGGCACCAGTATCTAAGATAGGTAGAGTCCGGGGCATAAATAGACGTAGCCACGAGCGCCGTGCCAATTCAGACATAGGGTATATTAACATGCAGAGTGGTAGAAACAGGCTGAAGTGGGAAGAGATAGAAGAACAGCTAAGGGAAGAGAGGCCCATGGTATACGGTTTTGTAGAAACACATGTCAGGGACATGGAACAACTTCCGAACAATCCGGACTACGCGTGGGAATATTGTAATAGAACAGAAGGCAGCAGAAAGGGGAGTGGTATTGGGGCATTTATTCATAAAAGTACAGACTGGCAAAGGGTCAAGCAGGAGTGCAAGGAACATTTATGGCTAAAAGGGAAAGTGGCAGGTCAAATGACACTCCTTGGTTTCGTGTACTTGTCGACGGGAGCAAAGGCCAGAGAGGAAGACCAGGCTATGGTAGAGTGTATATCGAAGGACATTCAGGAGTTAGAAAGAGAGTGCGAGATAATTATACTAGGAGACATGAATGCACACTTAAAAGATATAGATGGGTATACCGACCCAGCAGGCAAGATGATCATGGATATGTGTGAAAGGCTTGATTTGATCATTTGCAACAGTATTGAGAAGTGTGAAGGGCAAATAACATGGGAGGTAGGAAGGCCGCAGTCGACGATAGATTATGCACTGATGTCACATAGGATGTATGATAAGCTCAGGGGAATGCACATAGATGAAGGTGGCTCCAGAAGTCTGAGTAGTGATCACAAACGTATCAAGCTAAGTTTTGGAAGGACAGTGAAAGTGGGAAGGCGACAAGATTAGCAACACAGGAAAATTTTTATCCAGAAAGACAAATTGAAATAGCCGCTAAACAAATTGAGAAAGTAATCACGAAGGATAATAAGACAGTGTGGGCATACACGAATCTAATTAGACTGTTTGAGCTAGAGCTTGCTAAGACGCATGACAGGTCACCCCGGAAAAGAAGACACAAACCCAAAAGTTGGTGGGACGAGGAAGTTAAGAGAGCCATAGCAAAACGTCAGGAAGCCTCTAGGGAACCCAGACATGCTAAGCAGCGGGGTGCACCGACAGATGATGCTGAACAAAAATGGGACATCTTTCTAAACTGTAGAACGGAAGCATCCCTTCTGATCAATGAAAAGATTAGAAAAAAGGGGTCTCAGTGGCTGGTCAAAGTACATAAATAGGATAGAAAGGCAGCTGCGAAATTTTGGAACCATCTAAACTCCCAAAGAAATAAGACGAGCCTAGAGCAGAGGTTTATAACTACAGCCCAAGGTGCTAGGCCAGAAGGGGATGAAGCTATTGAATATATAAGAACAAGGGTGACAGAAAAATTTCAACAAAGAAGTGCTTTATGCACCATAATAGAAAGGATGAATCAAGTGGTGCAATGGCTCAATTTTCACAACGAGAGTAGGAAAGGGCTGAGAAAAGGGTTTCTAGTAGTACATCAACAGGCCCAGATGGCATTCCAATTATGCTGATAAAGACATTAGGTCTGAAGTCTCTAAGCAGGCTTTGAGAGAGGCAGTGAGAAAACTAATAATCGATGGTGAATTTCCCGATGGATGTAAACTTAGCAGGATGAGCATGATCTATAAAGGCTTAAAGGGGGACAAAGCTGACATAAACAACTACCGTCCTATAACAGTGACTTCAGTGGTCTACAGGCTGGCAATGCAGATTATAAAGGAAAGACTGCAGGCATGGATAGAGGATGAGGGGGTGCTGGGGGAACTGCAGAATGGGTTTCGGAAACACAGGAGGTTGGAAGACAATCTGTTCTCACTGACGCAGTGCATCGAAATAGCAGAAAAGGAACACAGGCCCCTGTGGCTAGCATTTTTGGATATCAAGGGAGCGTACGATAGCGTGGTTCAAGAGGAATTGTGGGGAATACTGGACACACTAGGCGTGGAAGATGTAGTCACTAATCTTTTAAAGGATATCTATAAAGGTAACAAGGTAGTTATGAAGTGGGAAAAACAGATATCCAAGCCTGCAGAGGTAAAACGGGGTCTTAGGCAGGGGTGTCCCCTGTCACCCTTATTATTCATGATGTACCTACAAGGACTAGAGGCCAAATTAGAGGGAACTGGATTGGGCTTGAACCTCTCTTTAGTCAAACAATGAAAACTCATTGATCAGGCACTACCAGCATTGATGTACGCAGATGATATAGTGCTAATGGCCGACAACAAGGAAGATTTGCAGAGATTGGTGGACATCTGCGGTAATGAGGGAGATAGGTTAGATTTCAGATTCAGTAAGGAAAAATCAGCAGTGATGATTTTAAATGACAATGAAGGTAGTGAGCTTAGAATACAGGAGGTCGCGCTAGAGATAACCGATAAATACAAATATCTGGGCGTATGGATAAGCAATGGGGCTGAGTACCTAAGGGAACACGAAATATACGTGTCGACTAATGGTAACAGGAATGCAGTGGTAGTAAAAAACAGGGCACTGTGGAATTACAATAGGTATGATGTTGTGAGAGGAATATGGAAAGGGGGCATGGTTCCTGGGCTGACGTTCGGCAATGCAGTCTTGTGCATGAGGTCAGAAGTTCAAGCAAGATTAGAAATTAAGCACCTTGGATTAGGTAGGCTTGCTTTAGGAGCTCACGGGAATACACCAAATCAGAGAGTACAAGGTGATATGGGATGGACATCATTTGAGGGCAGGGAAGCTAGCAGCAAGATAAAATTTGAGAAGCGATTGAGAGAAATGGGGGAGGAGCATTGGGCTAGGAAGGTTTTCAGCTACTTGTACATGAAGAATGTCGATACAAAATGGAGGAAGCGAACCAGGAAATTGACTGGTAAATACTTAGAAAACAGCAGGTGGCCAAACCAAAAAGAACTATCGGTTAAGAAGAAAGTGAAGGAAACGGAGGCTGACATGTGGAGAATTGGCATGATGAAGAAGTCTGCACTAGAGATCTATCGAACTTTTAAGCAAGAAATTGCCAAGGAAAGGATCTATGATAATACTCGGGGCAGTTCTCTACTGTGTGAGAGCAGGACGGGAGTGTTGCGAACCAAGACAAATACGAAGGGGTAGACACAGTATGCAGTGCGTGTGAAGAGGAAGATGAAACTGCCGAACACTTGATAATGTTCTGTAAAGGGCTTCACCCTATAGTTCAGGATGATGGCGCAGAGTTTTTCAAAGCACTGGGGTTTAGGGACAGGGAGGGCAAAATAGACTTTAAGAGGGTAGACTTAACTAGAGGGAGGTTATATGATTGGTGGCTAAAGTCAAGGCACGAGTGAAAATGAACCCTTCACTGCAAAGTACAAATCCTCAACCTCACTATTTAAAGGAAAAAAAAAAAGATGAATCAAATGGTTAGTTCACTAAGTATTTACGGCTAGGTGGTGTTACCCGCCGCTCGATCTAAAGCGTACAGCCACATCCATCCATCCATCCATCCATCCATCCATCCATCCATCCATCCATCCATCCATTTAGTTTTTCTGCGACGGGTGCGGTGTTTCTGTATGGAAAGACAGCGTGCAGGGGCGGCAATTCTCGCATTGCTGGCCTGTGAAAACCAAAAAGAAGCTATTTGTTTTTGTTATCTTCTTTGAGTGATGATGATTCGAGTGCTGATGTTTATCTTGTGTCCAAAAGTGAAGACAGCGACGACGGTGAATTGAGTAGCTCCTTCTGTGATGATGAAGACAGCTCAGACTCGAACATTGTGAATGACTGCCACTGAAGTCGCTTTGCATTATCCCATGTCTTGACATTTTCAATGCAGTCACCAAAGCTGAACGAGTGAACTACCCCTAGGGTGCTTAGCCTACACAATTGAAGAAAGATGTAGCATCTGCAACTGTTTGGTTTAAAAGGTGTTTAAAATTTATTAGCAGCAGGTAGCTGGTAATTCCTATGTATTGTTTAAAAATGAACTTCATTTTGTGGATTTGACTAAGTATGTAAAGAAAATATTTTTTCAACATCGACTAGCTGCTTTTTTCGTACAATCACGCTCAAAATCAGCAATAAAATAAATATGCGGTTCTGGGCGGGAAACTTTCAGAAAAATTGGGTAATTGGGTAGTTAAGGGGTTAATAGCTTGGACACTGCTACGTTGAAGCAGCACAGGTGAGTTCCAAGGTGCCTTGCAGAAGTTGCGCAATAATAGTTGACGGAAGTGAACCAGGCTAGATTGTGTGGTTCTGTTCTCCTCTGTCTCCATTTGTTACGCTACATCTACAATGAACCCTTATCATCTAGCCCCTTTTCGGCCTCTCTGGATCAGTGGCTAGGGCGCTCAGCTGCCGAACCAAAGGTCGTGAGTTGGAATGTAGCCGCGGCGGTCGCATTTCAACAGAGGTAAAATGGTGAAGGCACATGTACTGTGCAATGTAAGCGCACATTGAAAAACACCAGATGGTTGAAATTTCTGGAGTCTTCCACAACAGTGTCCCTCACAATCATATTGTGGTTTTGGGACATAAAACCCTAGAAATTATCAAATGGCCCATTTGCAGTTCTGTTACTTAAGGCACTGCGGTGGATGACTGTAGGTAATTTCAGTCACCTTTGTTTTTAGAGTGATAGCTTTACTTCTGGTAGAAATCCAGAAAATGCTTCGTTGCGTGAATCCAACCTTCAAGTTAGGAGAGGGTCATGCCACTGACACTGAGCTGCGCCACCAGTGTCCTCACAAAGCCGGCCAAGGCACTTCAGTGAAAGCCTAGTGCAGCACCTTTGCAAAGACAAACAGCTGCTTGACATTTGTCTTCGTGCCGCCACAGCCTGAGGCGCTGAATGCATCCAGATAACTGCGCATTTGTGTAAAGACCATGTGTTGTCTTGTAGTGCAATTATACCTGTAGTAGTTACTGCTGCTTCTCGACAAACCTGGCTCAACTGCATTTAACCGCAGCGATTCATTCACTGTTCATGCAGAATATGCTGCACATGTGTTTTTGCATTCGAGCGTGTTGTGCTGGCATTTTTTTTCCTTCTGTGAGCAATCTTTGTTTTGAGGCAGCGGCTCTCTGATGCTTACTATATGTCTTGCGCAGCGGTGCCCGTGTTCCTGTCAGTGGCGGTGTTTGGAGGCATGTGCTTTGACCGCTCATGGCTACAGTACCCAAATTACAACCACCTGTCATGGGCCTATGCACTTGCTGTCGTTGCCTTCTTCTTCCACACGCTTGCCGCCGTGATGCTTCTAGGGGAGGCCTTCAAGGCCCGCGAGCGTCGGCGACGAGCCAACAACCTCATCTACAACATGCAACCCAGGTCCTGAGCTGTGACTGCTGCTGTCTGTGCTGGGAAGCATTTCACATGCAATGTTAGGACTAGATGGAAGGCTAGCTTGGGAGTGGATTGAGCAGCATGTATGCCTCAAAGCAGAAATAAGGATGCAGAAAGTTTGTCTCCAAAGGAGAAAGAAAAGTATAGCACCTGAGAGGGGCTACATCAACCGTACACCTCCCACTGCCATCTGCACAGCCTTATACTGCACTGTCACAGATACACACACACACACACACACACACACAAAGGCATTAGGATCATTTGTTACGTTTACTTATTATTTTAATAGTGTTCTAGAAAATTCCTCTGTAGAGCCATTTACAAATCGATCTGTTTGCTGATGTACTTGCCACGATGGCAGAATGCATGGTGCAATTGATTCACAGTTGGCAGTGATCTTCCGCCCTTTCCAGAGCATGCGTAAAGGTACGGCAGTGGAAGTAAAGCTGGCGAAGTCGGTGGTTAGCAGGTGCTCGATAGGTATTGCTGTTCACCTGCACTTGTGCTATTTGCGATAAGCTCATGCAGAGTACGAGCGCCAACTGCGGAGGAACAGTACTGAAATTGTGTCAGAATATTCGCCAGAACCTGTTTGTCGCTGTCAAATCACAGCTGTATTCTACTATTCTTCAATGATTTCTATGCCAGCAACGCATGCTATCATTCAGGAAGGCTGTACTGCAGATGATTCAGAGGCTGCAGTTGGTTTTAATATATCATGTCAACGAGTTGCTTGTTTCATTATTTATACTGAAGCATGTTGGTTTTCTAGCGTTGACATTTTGTTGCCTGGTGACAGTAATTGCAGACAAAGTACACCCTGCACTGTTACCAAGTGCCTGTTATGGACAAAAAATGCACTGCCAGATTCAGAACATTTTAACACGTCAGTGTTTGTCTATTGTGTCGTCTTTCACATGAGCTGAACTAGCAGCATACTGCTAGTTGTTTCATAAGAACAAAGTCTGTTTTTTTTTTTCAAGAAAACAGCCGTGCCACTTATTGTGTCTGTCTATTCTGTTGCAAAACTTCATTTGCACTTGCTGATGAAGTTGATTTTATTAATTCAGCATGGGTCAGTATATGATAACTACAAGGGGTACTTTTAGAGTGTGTGATTTGTTTAATTGTGATTTGCTGCTTCATACCACATTTGAGATATATAGTACTTAGTAATTCTAGGCTTCTCTGCCACCTGGCCATCACAAAAGCCTGCACTCCTTTATTGCATGTTTGACAGCTGCAGTATTCCAAAAATATTCTGCCACTTAACTGCTGCGTGCAATAATGTGTCACAGTAGGCCACGCCAACATTTATTATTGCATAAAAACAGACGATGTATCTTTAGGACAAGTCCTTTTGGAAGACGATGTATTCTGTAGAGAGGCTTTTTTCCTGAAATTTAGCCGGCATTACTTCCGAATACTGCTTCAATGAGAGAGCACCAGCAAGTACAATTCGCATAGGTGGCACTTGTCAGTGCATGTCAGTGCGAGCAGTGTTGTTTCCCGATGCAAGTACTGACCACCACTATGTAGGATATTTCAATATACCTCTAGATTCATGACCCACCATTACGTCCAGGCAAAATATTTTGGAGTGAACGAAGTCTCTGCTGTGCTAGGCATTATTTTTTTTACTTCAAAGGTGTTGTTGAACAAAATATCTTTGTATTGTATTCATGTGTGTGTTTAGCTCAGGACCAGCAACAATTTAAAGGATCACAAAAATGCTTTTTTTAGGCAGCTCCTGAAGCAGTTTCAATGAAACTTGTTGCGTTTCAGAGAAAACACAAGTTGCACAATGTTTTTATTTAGGGCTTCCAATATTTATAAAGCAGTATTGCTAAAATAAAACAAGTAGTATCTCAACGATTACAACTGCAGGCAGAAAAAATATTCAGGAGAAAATTATGCAGCTTTACAGCTTACATAAATTTGTTCATTGTTGCATTGTTTATGAGCATTTTTGCAAAAGTCCTACTTGTGTGCTTTAGTTGTTTGAATACAGACCCAGTTTTTTACAGCTAAAGCTGTTATGAGATCACAACTAGGGTCACACGCAGTTGTCTGCCGTCACCGCCGGTGTCCGCAACCACATTGCACGAAATTAGAAAAAAAAAAAAAAAACTTGGTACCAAGGACACAGTGGCGCTCGAACCGGGGTCTGCTGGGTGCCAATACAGTATTCTATCACTGAGCCACACCGGTGCTTGGGACTTGTTTGCAAACTTGCCTTAGGGAGGCTTGATGTCGGGAAAGCAATCACGTTAATACGACTTATAAAGCGGTTTAAAACAGCGGAAAGACAAAGTGAAAGTCATCGCACAATGCGAAAAGTGTAACGAGTGGGTCGTCCACTGCTCCAACCCATTGCAAAAGCTTGTTCTTGTTCCCCTATGAACTGTGGAGCATGCACACTTTAGCCGTAATTCCTCATTGTCGTCAGCCACTGCATGAACAATTGGCGCTAAATTCCATACGACACTTCTCAGAAGAATGACCAAAAATACCATAACGAATGCTGGCCTACTACCCAAAAAATTTTATTATTAGTATTGCCCTAATGGGTATCAAGCAAGTGTGCTTGCAGTAGTTACCCAATGAGTCTTTTGAAAGGCTCTGAAAGGCTGTTCTTCTACCTTTCGCTGTGACTGTGCTGCGCCTTCCGCGCAGGCCTGGCGTTTTTTTTTATTAGAACCCTTAGTCTAAATGTCGCCATCCACCTCAAGAACTAACTGTCACAATGTGGGAGCAATGCAAAATGCAACATTAAAGGGGGGGGGGGGGGGGAGCGTCACTTTGGCTTGTGCTCAACCTCAATCATGGTAAGGTTTCTGAACCACAGCTGTGGTCCTTTCTGCAGCTTGCATAAGCGAGCCAGCTGAGATTGAGAAATTTAACAATCTACCTAAACATGGGGGCTACATGCTCTTTGCTAAAGGAAAAAAAAACTGATGTAAAAAATGACATCAAGAAAAGAAACTGACTACCTAAAAAAATGTTCAGCCAATCTAGTCTAATTGGATGTTTCCACTTGCTGTCCTATCTGGCCCATTAAAATGTCATGCCACAATTGAAGTGACACAGGTATAACATACTATGTAGATTCGTGCAATAATAGCTCTTCACTGCCTTTGAAGTGCTCACTCGAGATGAGTGAATATAAAGAGCTAGGTTATGAAGACTACTCTGGAGAACCAAATACAAACTGGCTATTTACTAAGGGTAAACAGTAGGGGTGTGCGAATATCAAAATTTTCAAATATGAATCGAATAGGAGTACATAGCTTCGAATATGAATCGAATATCAAATAATGAAGAGGCACAAGTTTTTTCCGCAAGTAATTTTTTACTCAGTCATATATTCATGTTGGAAACAGTACAATTGTTATCATAGTCAGTTATTGCACACAAAAATAAAACAATGTCACCATCTGTACTTTCCAGAAAGCATAAGACTAATAGTTTAGCTTGTGACTGTGATGTCTTAGGTTCAATCCACACGTTGAACAAACCTTTTGAATCTTTTTATTATTGCAAAAAAAAAGAAAACTTCTTGTACCTGCCATGATGACTGGTGAACACGAGGTCACTGGTTTGATTGTGTAGCAATTAACACCCGTGTACTTAAGCCAAAGTGATTATTAAAGCAGCCTAGGTGGTCATAATTCATCCAGTTTACCACATTATCAACTTTAGTTCAAAAGACCCTGATTTTATAGTTTGCTTTAGTTTTTTCCTGTGTTCTCATGGGTCAAGCTATTAAGGCCAATAAGAGTACTTGGAGTGTTCTCCAACTACACAGCAATACTCGTTATCTCGTTTGCTTCAGTTGCCTTTCTCGAGGAATGCGCGCTCGCCATTTTTCGATCAAGAATGCTGTGTTGCACTGATAGCAGCACGGTGACCGAAGTGTACTGGCCTCGCAGCGATAACGCGAAGTAAGCGCGCGATTGATGATTACTGATGTGTGATAAAAAGACGCCCCAAGTATGCTTTTTTGTCAACAGCGAGGGCACTATTTCGCGGCATCGCAAGTCCCTTCGGCGCACTGGCTGCCGACGGCGGTAAACTGACATTGGCAAAAGAGCGAGATCGCAGCAACGGTGTAATAAAGGGTCGATTGCAGGAGACGTAACCGCACGAGCGCGATGCACATTCTACAAATTTTCAAAGACACGGTCGGGAACGCAGTGGAACTACGTCTTAATCCGTCTATCACCTTTCGTGCACCGTCGTTAGCAAAGAAGAACTATGTGTGATGACGCTATTGTTACGGTATCAAAAGTGCATGACCTTTTCTATGTTTGCCATTGCGCGAAAAACACTGCAGCTCATTCGCACGACCATATGCGCTACCTTGAATCATTCCAGAACTATGAAGAGAGTATACATGCTGATGTAGCGGCACAGCTGATGGATGGCTCGTCAGGCTTTGACATGTGTGCGTGCATTTGTACAGCGATTCATTAGCGAAAACTGGCGTGGCTATACCTGAAACGCGTTACCATCGTATGTCAAGCTGAGCACGCCCCTAGCTAATTGCATGCAGTGCATCGCCTACTAAGCTCACTCCATCAGCGCTGCACCCTGTAACGTATACGCGTGCATTAGCCCTTGAGTAGAGATATTTGGATTGTGATAGGACAGTCTCGGCTGGTTTTCACAGTCGCCGCCGCCACCACAATTATGCACCGTGTACATATACGTATCTATGCGAAAACTCAAGAAAGAAAAAAAAGCCGCCCGCACTCGGCACACAGCTTGTCGAGATGTGCCAATGCGTGCTTATCTCCCACGCATGCTTTGCCTGCAGATGGGGGCGGGGGTAGATGCTTGCGCGCGCGCATGCTTATCCTTTGGTGGGGAGAATGGTGTGCCTTTCACCGGAACGATTGTGTTAGTTACCTGGACCACTTCGTGGACCACTTCTTCGAGTGGAACACTTTGATTACTGCGCAGGGTCCTTTTGCAAAGGTGTGAGGACTGTTTTGTCGAGCCTCTGCGGCAGCGGAGAGTTGCCTTCGTTTACACGAGCGATCCGCACTTGCAGTTTCACGTTGCAGTCCCACGCACAAGGGCTCGGGAGTGGATGGCGTGCGCTAAACTGCTAAGCCACATGTACTGCCGTATAGGTAATACACAACTTAGATTAATTGACTGTTTATGGTTGGTAGGTTTGCCGCGATGATGTGCCGCCGCATTCATTGGTAACTGTGGTCACGCTCCCATAAATTTCCATGCAGGCATCACCGCACACACGCCGAAGTCGTAGTATTCACTGCATGCTCTACTAAGGCTCTTATCGCAAATGCGCAAACTTGCAAGTTCTTGACAGTGACATATGCGAACAATTATTTGTGAACATGGAATATCGGAGGAATATTCAAGTTAGTTCGAATATTCGAAATTTTTGAATATGTGGTTATTGAATCGAATACAAATATTTGAAATGCAGTATTCGGCGAATATTCGAATATTCGCCCACCCCAAGTAAATAGTTGAGGGATGACAGTCTTGCTATGGTAGGACATTCAAGAATATAACAGTGCACACTTTGTTCTATTAGATGTGCCCTTTATTGTTACCATTGCTTGCATCAGTGGGCAATAGATGAGAGGATCGGGCTGTGTTCTAAATGAGCAGTAAATATATATCAGAATCAAACATGAGTCAGGCCTAATGTCTCAAAAGACGAACAGTAACAAGAGTGACTCATTTTAGTGGGAACTATTTACTGAAGGCTCAGTGCAGTTGTGTTTTATGAAGCCCTTATCAGCAAGCAGCTGGTGCGATTTGCAGGCACAAGTTACTGCTGTCATTGTGCCTTGCTCGGTATTTCTGAAAATTGATCCTCTTGATAATTGTAGAGGTGACTTTTTTGCAAGCCAGTATGTTCAACAAGCAGTAGTGTCTGCTTGTATTGTGACACAAAAAGTGGAAAGGTGGCTATTGTGATGAGAAATTCCACTAATAATTTGTGGCTAGTACGCCTTATTTGATTGAGCTATTGCGCAGTGTTGGAAAGGTGCACTGGCACGTTATGAGAAGCATTTAAAAGGATTGTCTACCACGATTCATTGTCTTTATGTCTTGTGTCGCAATAGAAAGCACACCTTCTGAAAACCAACTTTGCAGCAGTTTGTCTGAAACGTAAGTAGAAATTTTTAAAACAGAATTTTAGATCTACGTTTTGTATTTGCTGATTGGTGTAGAGGCACTTGCAACAGTGGTTACTGCACGCGATAACAATCATTGTGTCGATTAAGGTAAAAAACTGGAACCACACGCAATTTCTGCAGGCCTAATTAGACTTGTCCTTTAATAAATTGATTATTATAATGGCTATTTAGTGCTAGTCAAATAAAGTGTTATCACATTCTTTGAACCTTTGTTCAGTCAGCCTGAGAAACGACCACAGTTTAGTAGAAAGTTTGGGATGTTCCTGCAACACTAGTACCCCAGCGTCATGTAATAACCTGTAGTGGTTCCAGCCATGCTAAACGTGTGACTGAGACAAACGTTAGATGTGCTTTAGAGAAGAATATAATGTCATTGCTGTTTTTCAATAGTTATGATTAGGTGTTTTGTGTTGCATATGCAATATGACAGCCAACATGGGCGCCCTGGTGAAGCGCTACCTGTAGGCAAAATCTTCGTTGTAGTAGAACCCCTTGAGTCGACCGAGTCGCAAAGTGATTTTAACAGAAGAGAACTTGGGCTTATGATTCAAGAATTCTGTGACGTCAGTTACTGCACCAGATGCTGTGCTGATGTTTCTTCAGCATAGCCCGTAGACAGGCAATCAGGTGAATGGGGCAGTGTCGCTGGGCCTTTTTGAATGTGAGAGAAAAAAAGCTAACATTGCTCTCTGACATAAAGGAAAGCTGTCTAAACTTCATAAAATACAACTTAAAGTTATACATATTTGATCTCAAACAAAACAAGTCTATCTATAATAGCTTCTTTTGCTTCTACCAAACGGTTGAACAACACAACTGTTAGGTGGTGCTAGCAGTCATAGTTTCAGAGAGAAACTAAAAATGTAATTGCCTTTGTTTCTTAGATGCAGACATCCTCGTTGGTGCTAATGTTACAATCAAACTTCTAATTTCTGCCACTATCAAAAATTTTTTTGAGTGGTAGACAGTCCCTTTAAATAAAAATGAATTTTCATCCTTTCACGATATACAGCCAACATTTCTGTTTCATGCAAGAAAGGACTGAAACAAAGGTAGCATCGATGAGACACTCTAACTTATGCACTCTACTTTCAACTCTGTTACACAAGGGAACATATTCTTTTATCTGCAAGTTGTATTTCACTAAAATGCATGAATGGCTTCCTCATGTTGCTTATGCCTTCCCTCGGCCTTTGGTCACCTTGCAAGCTCCTCTGCTGCACTGCCCGTTCTTGCTATGCTTGTGCTGCTTGGAAACTTCAGGGTTCTTAGTGGTCCTTGAAATCCCACAGTGCGTTATTAGTAAAATGCCTAAATTTCGTTTGTATGCCTACATGTTTTTCAACATGGTGCTTTTCAGCATGGGTCAAAGTCAAGAAATTTTGTTTAGACCAAGATGATGATTCGCAGTTATCCACTTGTCAAAACGTTGGCTCCAGCACCCTGTTTACGGATTTTTTATTGCAACCTTCTATCTTCCCCTTCTTGCCTTTCGTTTTTGCATTAGCAGTCAAGCAGCAAACCATTTATGTAGTTTGTGCATAACAAGCAGTGCTTGCCTTCGAGCTATACACATCCTCGTGGGAATCCTTGGAATGAATTCTTCAAGGACTGCTACGAACCCATTTCTGACTAACACATATGCTTCCTTCTGTGACCTAACACAGGCCGGGAACTTCCCTCTCTCTGCTTGAAGCCACACCTGTGGAAAAGCCATCCAGTCAGCAATTTATGCTTTTAATAATTGCAAAGTAGTTTGGCTATCTGAGGGTAAATTATAGCAGGATAAATATTTCAGTGCTGCCCAAACTATAGCTTCACTACACACACGTGGATGTTTGTCATACATTGTGCAATTGATAAGTGTTTAATGATATAACCACAGCTAAAACATACGCGGCAAGTGAAAGGCATAGTTTCAGTGTTTACGCAGCATACTTCTGCACCAAAAACATTCTTAAATGCATTGCACAGAAATTGCATAGGCGACTTTGGGGGTGTCTAAATATTGTGTGTGCTCTATACCTGGTATTTTCTTGCCAATTGTGCGGGTTACTTGTTTTGCCATGTACAGAGGAGAGCGCTTCAAAAAAGAGCTCTTGTCGCATGCCGGCCCTTCTGCAGCCCTTTTTGATAGATGGTGCACCCTGACTGTCGCTCTCTCTTTCCCCCGTGAAGGACGGCTGATCCGGCAACGCGCCTTTACTTTTTCCCCGCCGACGGCACCTCAGTCTGAGGAGAGAGAGACATGGCTGACAGGCACAACCCCTCCCTTCTTCCTCTGTTGCCGGACTAACCGCGAGCTCGGCTGGCCAGCAAGCCATCTTGCCTGCATCTCAGGCCACTCCAGTGATAACGTAGGTACTGGGCCCAGCATAAGCAGCTGCACTGTGCACTATCGATTGATCGGGCAGCTCCTCCACAGTGGTAACTGCAAGACGGACAATCGCTGTTGCAGTTGGGCACGGATGTAGCAGCTGGCTTCGTAGTACGAGAACACTGCAAGCAGCTCTCTTTTGTGATACTTCTTTGACACAGAGCATCCTCGAGGTCTGAAACGGCTGTTACTCTTCTGATGTCTATAACTTGAGCAACAGGCTGCTCTTCCTCTGTGTTTGGTTAGCTCACTGGTCTGCTATGCACACCATTGCCACATGGCCAGGAGCGTCACTCATTGAACTGGGAGGGTACAGCCAAGCACACTGCTTTGTCCTACTCACAGTAATACTGACCCAGAGCCAGTCCATTGCATGTATTGTGTGTGCCACATAACATTAATGCAAGCAATACTTGCTAGCTTGTCTGATTGTGGCATTTTGTTTTTCTGCTCCCAATGTTTTGTTTGCACAGTCTTAGCACTCGGTGTTCCAGCGTCAACTGCCTCCAGCTATATAAAATAGTTGATTTGAGGTAACTTTTCGTAGCACTGCTAGATATCTGTGATTGTGTGATAGTGAAGTAACTTCACATTTCTTTTGTAGCTGAAAAAACTGTGCAGAGCTCTATTAAGGAAACTCAACTGTTTATAAAAAAATAAGCCAAACAATTATTAAGAAAAACACACAGTAGACTACAGATAAATGAGACTCACCTAAACTGAAATTCCCAATAATATTGGTGCTATGATTTTGCCTGGCTGTACACAGGCACAATATTAAACTTGTTTAAAATGAAATTTATCTTATGGTTAGCTTTGAGTAAAGAAAATGTAACCGAGAAATTCTCAAAAACGTGCGAAGCAGTGAAAGGAATGGACAATTAAATCTATCAAGCAGTTGCAACAAAATTCCTTGGGTCAAACCTTGCTAATCATATGAATATCCCCATGGAGTTTCGTGAAACTCCCAATCTAAGGCATCTGCTGCAGCTCTTTTGTTAACGTTGCCAGGGAGAAGACTTCGAACAGCTCTTGTTTTACATCCTCTTGAAAAACTTCAAATTATTGGTAAAGCTCAATATTTAGTTGAGAAGTATCATGCACTGCAACGGTACTGTTTTGGACCAGATGGCACGAGGTGCAAAAGCTGCTGTGGCATCCAGAAAGTAAGGACAGTGCAGAATCATTGGAAATGCTATTGTGTAAGCACACATCTTATACTGCAGTGGTATGAATAGAGTGGTATGAACTATTACTTTCACCAAAACGCTATGGAAAGACTGAGAAGCCTTTTAAATAAAATCTTGATTTTTTTAACCACTGCTTAGACTTCTAGAACACATCTTGTTGTCCCAAATTTTGCTTGTTAATGCGATAACGTTGAGGAGCTCTTGTTGCAGAAGATTCGTTGTCAGCGTAATCCATAAGCGAAAAATCTTGAAGTCAAAGAATAAGAAATAGGGTTGAAATACGTGGCGCAAGGTTGACAAAGAAAAAAAAAAGAGACGAGACAGAAAGAGCGCCGGGTGTGTTTGGTTTTTTTCGACGTCTTTACATTAGGCATATCTGTTTGTTGCTGGTTCCCAGATATCATGATTGCAATAATCGGTTATTACATCATCAAAATCTTCATGCCTGCACGTGCGGTGAATGGAATGGTCTGCTCATGTCCTCCAAGAGCCTATATATTGTGAATGGCGCTCTTTCTGTCTCGTCTCTTTTTTTTTTCTTTGTCACCCTTGCGCCACGTATTTCAGCCTAATATGTACCAACTAGCCCAACATAACGTACTGTTAAGAAATAGGGTACCAGCCAGAATCGAAGCGAGGTGTTCTGCAAAGCAGTCAGTTATTCTACCACAGCGCGACACTAGCGCCTGAAATCTCGTTTGGATAAAGACCCTACGCAGGCATGTCCGGTGAGGAGTCAATGGCTGCAGCTATGCAAGTGTTGTGTGACTGAAGTCTAAAATCACATTGCGTGAATTGCATGGCCACTGGGTGATTTACAGTTTCTTACTTAATACTAAGGGCTCACCCGTAATTCAATGTCTGCCACAGCACCAGAAACTATGGAATGGCACATATTGCCTTACATCTATGTATTAGGCTCTTTGCAAATTGGGGATAGTGGGTATTTCGCATCATCAGAAGACGCCCTGGCACTGTGTGGAGTGGTCATGTCATGCACCTTCTTTTCCTGAAAGCACAGTCATCAAGAAGCAAAGCAGCTCAGACAAATTAGAAAGTGGTGCGCATGGGGCCCCACAACTCTCTAACACTACACTCTTAAAGGCAAAGCTTGGCTTTATGCAGTCCCGAACTTTTACCAAGTACCTGGTCAGTGTGGTTCGAAAATGATTCTGTAGTCTGTGCACCATAAAAGGAAAGGCAACAGCTATGCAACAAAACCTCCTTAGATGTTCATTTTCGCAGTTGATATTCTGTTCAAGTGTCAGCAATATTTTGGCAGCATATGGTCATGAAAACTAATTGCTGCAGCCATGTTGCATTGTCGGGAGGGGCCCGACAATGGGCCACAAAGAGTTAGAGTACTGACGCAATTTTTGAGGCATCAGAAAAGGGGCATTTTTCATTTGCTTGGCATAAAGTGTTAACACTTTCCATACAGCATAGCCATGATGTGTATATACATTGCTTTGATTTTTTAAAGTTTTTCTCTCCAAGCATCAGAAAGCCATTTTCACCGCAGTGGGCATGATCATGATGAGTTGACACAGTTCGTTGTCATTGTGAATTCTCCGTCCTTCATGTTGCCAAAATTGCCGCCATAGTCACTGATTCCTGTTTACAAGTACCCGATGCAAGTGACAGCAGATGACAGAACTGCTGCTAGTACATCATGAGTACATCTATATGACCAGCATCAAACTGTGTTTACAAGTAACTGTGAAACAGTCCTCTCGATATAAAAAGCACAAGTGATTCATTAGGCTTGGAGCATTAAAAAACATATTTAAGGCATTCCAAAGCATCACAAAATTTTTTTTAAGGTTCTCAACACCGGCACCTTTATTTAGAACTACAGTAGAAACACTTCTAAGGTTCGTGTCGTTACTCCTTTAAGCGCTTTCCTCTGGTAACATAGACATTTTCCCACACTGTGCTATGAAGAAACTTATATATACTGGAATATTACGGTAGAGTATTTTGAGCCATGGTACCCGCATTTTTTATGAAGACGTAAATGCTGAAGGCCTGTGTACTTGGATTTAAATGCTTATTATAAAACCCTGAGGTGGTCAAAATTTCTGGAGCCCTCGACTATGGCGTCTCTAATGATCATATCTTGGTTTGGAGATGTTAAACACAAACTATTATTAATAATAATACACTCTGGACCTATTTTTCATGATGCCAGCTCAAGGCAGATTTCTTATTAAAAAGAACCTGTGCTTTACATTTTATCGACATGGATTCTGCAGTTTAACAGATCCAAAGTGCTGAAAGTCATTGATAGCTATGTAACTATTGCTTTTCCAGCTCCTTTGGTCAGCAATGATTATTTTTTAGTGAACCTTCTGTTCTTATATTGAAAAGTAATTGCAGAAACAGGTTATATAATGATAGCATCCACATGTAGGTATTTTTTTTTTGCTTGCTAAGGTGCATGGATAGTTCACAGTCTGACAGTTTTACAAAGTGACGGGCCAGCTATTGAACAAAAGTAGTTTCTGGGCTATTCCTATTCCTTCTCCTTGCCTCTCATGCTTTTGTTATGATTCGCTGCCAGTTAATTTTCTGTACTATTCTGATATAATTTTACCTGACTGTCTGTAAACCCTTTGATGAGCATGGCTGGTGTGCATGATGACCTTGCATGCATCCTTGTAAGACAACTCTTGTCATTTCCTGCTGCTGTAAAATAATTCAAAATATGCATGATTACAGGCATACGACTGTAATGTGTGGTGCAACTATTGGAATGCTTTGCCTAACAGGAGTTTTGTCTACAGCCTTTAGTATATTGACGTGTGTTTTTAAGGGGGGGGGGGGGGGCCTGCACTACCTTTTTTTTTTTTTTTAGGTAATCATCAGATGGCCTCAATATCGGAGTTTATTGGCTCAGTAATCAAATGCTGCAAAAAATTTTAGAATTTGTCAAGTACGAACAGAGTTGCAAAGATTAGTCACCCACTTCACACACTCTCTCTCTATTTCGTTTGCAGCAAGCACACTGACAGCCACTCAAGGTAGCAGCGACACATGTCATGACGCAGAGCACTCTCCTTTCTCTCTCTCTCTCTTTTTTTTGAATGTGGGCCTCACTATCAGTGTGACTGCTAGTGCTCTGGTGTAATTCCACGTCGTGTGTAATTCCACTATGACAGAGCGCAGTGCAGGCACATTGCAGCATCCCCGATATATACTAGCTTGTGATGCTCAAATCAGCCAGTGGACTTCAAAGATGGAGTACCAGCAAGTACACAATAACGTGGCACACATGGACGAACGCTGGGTGCAATGGCTTTAAGTGAAGTGATCTTAAGCCAATTCACATCATAAGACAGAACGCATCTATGGCATTATTTTTCAGGCACGAATGAGTGATTCCTAGCTCACTTTAAAACTTCACCCTTTGCAGTTCAGAACATCTACCTAACTTCCATTTATTTCAGTCTGAAGCTGTAGAAAGCAGACCTCAGTTAGCACAAGTTTTCTTAATCAATTGGTGATCTCTCATTTTGCAGCGAGAAAAATATACATATATGCACGTGAATAAACCTCCGAAGAAGTTGTGAAGCAGCGCCTGACCAGACTGTTGTGGCCGTGTTGCATTGTCGGGCAGGGTCCAAGAATGGACCACTAACGGTTATATTTAAATTCCATGCTGCGTGCTTCGCTATAGTCTTTGGCTCACATTGTTATAGAAGCCCCGACTACTCATGAACAGCATTTTCTGATCATTATCAAAAAGTATTGCAGGGTCCTTTTCAGCTGCTGCTGTTCTTGCTCATTGTTTCCAGTTATGTCTTGCATGGTTCATCTGGACTTAAAGGAAGATGTAAAAATCTTGAAAAATCTTTTTTTTTAATAATTTTTTTGAACAGAATAAAATTGAACACACTTAAGTTTTTTTTTTTCAGATTCCAAGTGTCTGATGTTAATTTTTAAAAGCTGCATTCAATTAAAATATATGCCTTGTCTACAACATTTTCTTAGCACAATTCTTAAGGGAAGTTTTGGCAATGTTTCTTTGCCAAATGAAAAAATGGAAAATGTGACAAAATTCTTGACACTTGGTCTAGCCGCTGATGTTATTTATATTCTTATAATGTTGTTCACCAAATCATAGTTTGATTTAATCGTTAAGTGTATGAAGCAAAAAATTGCTCTCATATTTGCTCCTGTTTTTTTTACAAAGTTGCATCTCATAATCATATGGTGGTATTGGGATGTTAAACTCCAGCAGTTAATTACTTTCGAAGCTAATTTAAAACAATCAAAGTTGCATCATCAGCTAGATGAGCTCACTGGTGGTTTTGCCACATACTTCATTTTTGTGTTTCACAAAGTGAAGTTGCCAAGAAACAGCGTAAGAAATATGCAATAAAAGTTTACTTTGAGACTGGGAATCTGAAGGAAAAAGTGAAGTAGTAGCAAGTTTTGTTGAGTTGACCAACTAATAAAAAATTTTGTTTTAGGGGTTATGTCTCCAAATTAGATTGGGAACGATGATAGACTGAAGGGGCAGGATTTTTTTTTTTAATAAGCCAGGATACACACACAGAACACAAATTATGGGACAGTGTACAGTAAGCTTTGTTGCACAACTTGAGTGAAAGCAAAGGAGCACCAAGTGGGAGAAGCATATCTTTTCTTGGTGCTGTTGAAATAAAACTGTGAATCTGTATACCACCTCTGCAGGCTGCTTTGCAGAGGTGTATGTGCCTATTGGAGATTACCAGCTGCATTGTAGCAAGTAATGCCCATTAGAAGTTGTCCCCAATATTTCGTGCTACATGGGATCGCCTTTCTGATCACATTTGCTGGTTGTAGTCTTTTTATGCCTGCTTTAGTATAAATAGATGATGGCGGGCTTGGAATTCGTGTTTATTGTGCCTTTCAGTGTTATTTCTTCTTCAATGAAAGCTGGCTTCGGTGTAGTCACCAGTGTTCCTTGTTTCTGTCACTCGTTTCACGTTAAGAGGTTGTTGTGAGAAGAGTATTTTAAACAGCCTTTGGAAAATGTGACATATGGCAGCAGCATTACCAGTCTCTGCATAAGTTGAGGTAGAACCGTCAATGTGTCTGCTGCACACTAACTTGTGGTTGACTATGACGTATTGCAGCTGTCTGACCACGTATCAGCAATTCACTTGTGCTGTATTTTTCTGTATTCATTCACCCTGTAAATTTTTCGCGACACTGGTTACTCCGTCTCCGACTAACAGACCACAGCACTCTTACCAAGAACATGTGTGTTTTGTGTCAGACATTGCAATGGGCACTGATTTTTTATTCGACACATTTTTTTTCGCTCACTCCCTCCTTGCACACCACTGCGTGCAATAATGAGCACGCCGGGCGCGCCGCCACCACTTTGTGCTTCCTCGACGGCAGGGCAAAGATGGAAGATATAGGCTCTTGTGCCAAAATGACAAAATCTAGGTCAAAATTCTTAGTTTGTTCGTGGCGAAAATTTTTTATATCAAGGATGTCTTCAGTGGTTACCTTGTTACATAGAGGTCTTAAATACAAGTACTTCTATGTATTAATGGCGACTAATCAAAAAACTTTGTTATTTATAGGAATTTATTATATGGAGGTTCGTTATAAGCAGGTTTAACTATATCAGCTTTTGTTGTGGCCAAATTGCATTCCAGGGTGTCTACGCATTAGTCTGTAATCACGTGTAGTACACACAATGAACAAAGATTGCAAGTGGTAATGCAGTGTAATTTCTCTGATGTCAGCTGATGCTCTCTCAAAAAATGTGAAATATGTATTCCATATGACTTTAACTAGTCTCATGTCATTCGATCAAATGACAAATGCGCAATCATGCGTGGCCGTACAAGAGAACAGCAAAGAAAGGTCACTTGGAGTGATTTAAATGGTAGTGAACAAAACCAGTTTGTACATATCCATATTTGCAAACAGCTCGAACTAAACACTGACAAGAATTCACGCACGACCAGCTTCAGTCCTGTGTGAATTCTTGTCAGTGTTTACTTCACGTTGTTTGTAAATATGGATAGTGATGCTCTTCATGTCATGGCCATAAATGGATATCCTGAAAACAATCTCTTGCATTACAAAGCAATTTAGTTGCAGGGGAAATGGCAATAAGCTGTTGCTGTTTGCTTTGTGGTATTTGTCATTGTCATTTGCTTTATTTGCACCACTTTAGCACCTGGTTTCTGTCATATGATTGTTTCACTTCATGAATGCAATGTTTATAAAATTATGATATCTTTGTATTGTTTTTCTCCTATGGCTTTTGGTATTTCATGCTAAATTTTTATGTATGTGTGTGACCATGAACAGTTAAATTTTGGCAGGGCAAACTAAAGTGTTGCTTCAAAGTGTACTACTGCGTGCAGCTATTAAAAGCCACAAAGAAAGAATGCTGCTTTTTACTTGTATCGCTGCAATGTTTGGATTCATACGAGTTGTGCCAATCAACTCCATTCGGCCAGAAACAGGCATTTCGTGATTTTTGCGTGAACCTGCAATGCCAGTTTTTTGTACGACACTCACGAGTCAGGGCAACAGCATGACTTAATGCCAAGTTTCTTCTGTTTAGTAGCTGACTCCTAATGACTGCATCCATGTCTGTTGTCCATGGTAGCTAGCCTAGGTTATTTTGTTCTAGTTATGTTACCCTGTGTTGAGGCGAAATAAATGGGTATGAGATGAATCATGAAGAAAAAAAACCAAAATTTGGTGATGCCTGGGTGTTGGAACACCATCATTAACATGTTGGATTGCTACACTTTGAACTCAAGCATTTCTTGTTGCTTGTAAAGAGTTAATGACTGCTGGCATTTTAAGTTCATGTGACAGAGTTTGAAGCTTTGCTTGTGCGACATTGATGATTGCTGGCATGATTTATGACCCCAGATCATACAGTAAATATTCAAGCCAAAAATAAATCGTTTTGAAGTGTCCTTAACTACGGTGCTAATTTTAATGACTACCCAAAGTATCCAGTGTGAACATTTTGTGTAAAACTGCATCTAGTCATGCTTGTATTTTTGGATATGACATACAGTCATGGCATCAGCTGCCATGCTGTGCACATATGTGAGATGAAACATTTTGTTTGCAGCGTGTAATTGATTTTGGTCCTTATTTTTATCATGTTTCTCATGCTTACAGTTATTTGAGCCGAGTTGTTGCTTCAATGACAGCCAAGAGCCGAGAATGATACTTTTTTTCACATGTATTGTTCACTAAGTTATGTCTTGAAAGCGTTTTCAGTATGAACAAGGTCCCTGTGTGGGCATTTTATCTTATGTGTATATTCAAGGTGAATAAACTCATAACATTTCTTTATTGAGGCTGGCCATTTCTCTGTTCTTATAAATTGCCACAGTGCCTGGTGTTGGTGGAACTCGGTAGTATGGTGCGGCAAGTGCGGTTCACCCACCCAGTCGTACCTGAATTTTACACCGATGGTTGCCAATGAAACTTTAGTGTGTTTCTCACAGCTTCTGCCAACTGACCTGTTACAGAAATGATTGACATGTTTTATGCTGGAATGCACCAAGACTTTAGTGACATATTTCAGTGATGGATAAAACGTTGATAAGATGAACGCTAAGAAATGAGAAAGAAAAACATCAGAAAGTTCTTCCACCGGAAATCGATCTATCGACACCTGGCCCACGAAAATAAACACCCGGTGCTTTAGCCATTAAGCTACAAAACCTGCGGCCAGAATGCTGATGTCACCACTTGCAGGGCGAGACGTCTCCCACAGATGCGGAAGATAGCAGCACTCGGAGAGCTGCTCTCTCCTAACGCTCGATCACTGCTTGCTTTCGTCGCAATCATGAAGTCGTTGTGGGTGAGACCACGACGTTTTGTTGTGTGTTGTGCTTTCTCTATGCTACTATTTCGTTGTGTGCGCTGTGAATCTATTTTTATCATAATTGCGTCTGAGAACACTCTTCATGCCGAACGAGTGCTTTGTACCCGAGAAATGATCGCAGAGATGAATACGCGCAATCCTACGATTGGATCCCATACGAACTTTATATAGCAAAATAAATCTTTTGTAGCGATAGTATTCGCGGTACTGTTCAGCGGTTCGTCTCACAGGAAAAGCTGTTATGAGATCATGACATGGGTCGTGTGCGGCCCTATAGTTGTTCACCGCCGCCGTCGGGGTCCGTAACCACTATTGCACGAAATAAGAAAGAAAAGCTTGTTAAATAAAAAAAAGCACCTAGGAGACAATCGGCTTCGAACCCGGGCTCCTTATGTGCCAGCCCAGTATTCTACCATTGAGCCACGCCGTTTTTTTTTTCTTTAATGTCTTGCATATCATGACTGTTCACATTTCACATATTTACATATTGATCAAAATACAAGTTCATCACAAAATACAGCCTCAAAATTCATTAAGGTACCGTCAGTTCTTAGCTGACTATTGATCAATACTTGGGTATTCGTAACAATGGCTCAATGTGCACAATCCACTCTGGTACATTCTCTTAGTCCTTCAGCACTTCAAGAAAATGGCACACAGATTTGCAAAAATATTGGCGCACAGATAGCAATTCTACATCCGCGTTTTTAAAGGCACATCGAGTTTTCCATATGCTGTGCAGGCCCAGAAGCAAGATTAGATCATAAGGTATGCCTGCTTTGTTTTTAACTGAGAGAAAACGGATGCTGTGTAGACTTAACGGTAATTCTTTTTTTGAGGTTCTCTGCAATATCTCCCAGAATAAGACCTCGCTCCAGCAATCTATAAACACGTGTTCAATTGTTTCCGGTTTACTACACACAAGTGGCAATGTGTGGTCCATGGGACGAATATTCCCCTATCCTGCAACCATGTTTTAACTGGTAAGGTACCAGTATGTAACTTAAAGAAAAACATTTTGACCCCTGGCACTACAAGCATTCTTTTAACATGTTTCAGAACATCCTGTCTTGGGCCTGCAGAATATAGCTGATGGTACAATAGCAGGCAGTAAAACATCGACAAAGTCTTGATACAATTTTTTACGTGATACTTCAGTCAGACACTTTAACGAAAATTTCTCTGATAAAAAGTGGAATGATGAAACAACTTCCTTTAAATATCCTTGTATTGGTCCTTGCACATTTGATATCGATATCGAGAAAAAGGAAACAGTTGATAAGTTATCTTATGTACAAAAGAACTAATCCGAGCCCGCCATCTCGAACATTGCTGAAGAAGTTTGTGTGGCTTGATCTTTCCCAGACAGAGCTCCAAATGAAAATTGCAAATACTCTGTGTATTTTCTGTAGACTTATTTTACTGCAGTGCGAAACCTGCATTACGTACCACAGCTTGCTCACCAGAAACAAGTTGCATGTTGTGGCCCGTGCGAATATTGAAATACCCCAAGCTTTCCATTTTTCTACATCATTGCGCAATGCCTGTGTGTGTTTTTTTTCCAATATGGTTCACTGTTGTGATAGAACTCTAGCGGCACTCCTAAGTACTATACTGGTGTTTTCTGCAATTTAATCTTTAGAAATATTCTTGGTGTGACGTCCCATTCCCCATGCCAGAAGCCAAGGCACTTATTCCAGTTCACGGAACTACCACTCACCTGGCAGAAAGTTTTCACGGCATTTACAGCATGCATTATAGTACTCATAGTTTGTACTGAAAACTGCAATGTCGTCTGCGTATGCAAGGAGGCTAACCTCAGCTTCATGCAATTTAAAGCCATTTATTGCACTGTTATTAATTACGCTTAAACAGAAAGGCTCAATAAAAATAAGAAAATGCAAGGGCGATAGCGGGCACCCCTGTCTCACTGACTGCAGCACAGGTATACGCTCACCCGCAGTTTTGTTTATTACCAATCTCGTCGTGCATCCTGTGTAAGCCATGCGCTTTCCATCGCTAATCAAACTTCATACGTTCATGTGCTCGAATAACGATAAGTGCAAGTCGTGCAGCATGCGATCTAATGCCTTTTCGAGGTCAATTTGAAGCATGCCAACATTGAGATGCATAACTTCGCAACTCTCTAGGATTTATCGTGCTATGTTTATGTTGGTCATGATTTTTCTTCCTTTTATTCCACAAGCTTGGTGGGAGCCAACAAGTTTTGTTATAACTGTCTGGAGTCTTCTGGCCATTATTTTCATCAACATTTTATAGTCAATATTAGTTAGGCTAATTGGTCTATATTCAGTATCACGTATGAACTTTGTGGGATCTTCTGTTTTAGGTGTTAAAACCGTGTGGGCTGACAAGAACGAGCGTGGAAGTTGTTTACATTTAAAAGCCTCGTTGAATACCTCCTTTAAAATAGGTGAAATTACATCTTTGAATTTCTTGTATACTGCAGCACTCGGGCCATCAGGTCCTAAAGACCTATCATTGTTTAATAGATCAATTGCTTTTTCAAGTTCTTGCTCTGTTATAGGCAATTCTAAAATTTCCTTCCTTTTGTCATCAAGTCTTGGCAATAACGAAATGAAAGCACTATTAAAGCGATCTGCGTGTACACTGGTTGGTGTGAATAACTCTTTGTAATGTTCGAAAAACACACCGGCTATTGCTTCTTTTGTATGGTACCTTGTTCCTTTATATTCTACTTCTCTTATTTCACTTTTACAGGCAAGTCTTTTCACAGCCCTAAGAGCTCGTTTAGTTGGCATTTCTTTCGCTATCAAGTTTTCTGCTTGAGCTCAATTCAACGCTCCGCAGTATCGTTCTTGGTCTATCAACTCTAGCTTCTGTTTTGTTCTCTTTATATTCTCTGAAAATGTACCCGCCTAGGTACATCGTTCCACTACTAACTGTTGCAAGTTTTCACGCAAGCGCACTTCAATTTCTTTTAAATGGGAAGCATTTCTTAGCGAACTTCGGCAACTTTGAGCGTATCTCTCTATCCATCTATATAGTTGCCTACAGCTTTTAGCTCTCCTGGTCGTTTCGATATAGGTATCGGTACCAAACTTGGTAAGACATAACATGACTGTATGAAGAATACATTTGTCTAGTCATAACATGAAAATTGTGATATATATGTCATGATTTGCATTACAAGGTCCTGCAGCTCTTGCAGTGGTTTCGTTCACATGACACGTTGCAAAACTGGTATGGTATGACATGATTGCATGGCAAACACAAGCGACACACCCTAACATAAAAATCATGACATGCATGTCATGTAACAACATGACAAGTTAACATGCCATGCTCATGATGCACTGGCAGCCGTTTTCCTAGCTTCACTCATACCGAATTTGGTATTACGGGATGCGAATGGATGACAAAGGTTTGATACTGGCGCAACATGATAAACATGAGATGCGTGCCATGTAATGACATGACTACATGCTACGCTCATGGTGCGCTCGCGGCCATTTCGCTAGCTTCACATCTACCAAACTTGGTATTATGCGAATGAACGACATAGGTAAATGACACATCTAAACATAATAATCACAACAGTGTGTCATGTAACAACATGACTGTATACATGCCACACCGATCATGTGCTCACGGCCGTTTCATTAGCTTCAGATATGCCGAATTCGGTATTACGTGACGCCAATGGATGACGAACGTCTGTGCCTGGAGCAAAGATGCTATTAATGAGATGCATGTCGTGTGAGAAAATGACTACATGCCACAGTCAAGGCGCCACTGCATTTTGACGTGACGTGGTGTGCGTGCTCGCCGGTGTTCATTTCGTCGTGTCACGCCGGCGTCGCCACGCCCGGCGTCGGTCCTGCCATATACTCGCAGGCGCGCGCCGCACTGCGTTGTTTTGACGCATGCGCGTTTCAGCGCGCCCGCCGTCCCTCCGTCACGAAAAGAGGGAAACGCAGAGTTGTCTGGGCAACGCATCAGCGCAAAATGTCGCGTGTCCAATTTCCCGCTGACGGACGCTGGTCGCGCCGTGCGTCAAACTATTGAGTGCTCGCGTTTTGCTAACGTAGCGCCGCTGTGCCCAGCATGCGCGCGCGTCAACGCTACATTGGAGTATATTGGGTCCTTCAAGACGCGTCCGCGGCCATTTTGCTAGCTCCACATATACCAAATTTGGTATTACGGGACGTCAATGAATGACAAAATATATGACTAGTGCAAACAAAATCATTCTGACATGCGTGTCATGTAAGAACATGACAACATACAACGCTCATAGCGTGCTGGCGGCCGCTTCGCTAGCTCCTCATATACTAAATTTGGTATCACGTGACGTGAATAGAAAACCAAGGTAAACGACACATCCAAACATGATAATCATGACACAGAAGTCGTGTACGGCATAATTTACCTCCACTTCGTAACGTTGTGCTGATTTTAAAGTGACATATCACCACTTCTCA